TAATGCATTTATTCAATTCCAGGTGTTTTACTGCTCAAAAAACTACGAAAAACATGCCTTTCTACAGTGAGTGAGCTCGCCTCTCCACAGATCAGACTTATACCTTGGCTTGGAGGGATTGCCAGCTTGTTTCCATGGAACTAAATAAGCTGTTTAATTTTATATAATATCTAAAATTTAGTTAGTTATATCAGTTTTTTTTTCTTTACTGCCATATATCCTTCAAATATTTGTTTATCAAATGTAGAAAGTAGCAACTATTAAAAAAAATTTAAATGAGATGGTGTTTCCAAACCTTTGACTGGTAATGTATAACAAATTCAAATAGCTTCCGTTTCCTTCTTAAAATGACCACAGTTGTAATTTTTCATTTAGTTAGTTATTATTATTGTTATTTTTTTTAGTTTAGTTAGTTATAGTGTGAAGAGAATTATTATTAAAGATGCATTGTGTAATTTTTCAGTGTGTCAAATTCCTTTCTCCATAGAGATGTTATTCTTTTGTTTGGAATGTTTCACAGTATGATATTAAACCTTTCTATCGTCATGTAAACCAAACCAAGTTACAGGACAGATCTGTGAAGAGGCAACCTCCCTTACAGTCAGAATACCTGTTTTTCTAAGATTTTTTTTTTAGCAGCAAAACCACCTGTAATTGGATAAATGTAAAGTAAAGCTGTTTAAAGTCAGAGCAATGACATATCTATAGAAACAAGCAGGTGACAGACCCCCAAGCAAAAGATTACACAGTGCACCTTTAATTAACAAAAATAATCTACACCCCAAGTGAGTACATGTTGTCCAAGCACAAAATCTTCTCTGACACAGTGCAGAGGAAGAGGAGACAGGACGTTGGTGTGTGTGGGAGGAGGGGGGAGGGGGCGGACCTCAAAAAAGATCAATGGCGGTGACAGTGAGTGCACCCGGGAGCTTGAGATTCAAAGTAAGCCAATAAATAACATCCTAGCGAGACAACCACTGCCTCCTCCTATCCCAGCTCACGATCCCTCCTCACCCTCCCTTCCCGGCCCTTGTCCCGCAGACTGTGGGAGCCCCCTTGATTACTGCCGAGGGGGGTGGTAGTGGTGGGACATCCAGGCTGCACAATACAGCTCTCATATGGGGCCCTCACTCACCTCTTGCCTCCATTTGTTGGACATTCATCTTTCAGCATGTGAGCCAGTTTGTTTTGGGGGTAGGGGCCTGGAGGTGCTGGAGGTGCCGGTGCATAGGGCGTTGGTACAGACTGGTGCAGAGAGAGATGAAGAGATAAAGAGTTAAAATGGATTACATTCTGGAAAGAAGATGAGTCAGTGTTAAAACAGACAGATTTAGACTTTGACTTAAACAAACTTTATTGATCCACAAGGGAAAGTACTTGGATACAGTAGCCCACACATTACATTATATTACAATAACAAGGGGGGGGGAATAAATGAATAGCAAGAGACTGGTGTCAAATTTAAACCACAAAAAACATTATAAATGTAAAATATTGCTTAAAAAAATCATGAGCTGCAAAAAATAAACAGCAGAATGAAGCACAGTACTTAGTTTGCATCTGTGTGTCAAAAGTATTAATTCAAACGTTTGCGGCTTAAATCTTATTGTATAGCCAAAAAAAATAGCCATACATTTCCTAGTAGAGCAAAGAAAATGTATACACAATATTTACTCCCTTAAAATATTGTTCCAGTTTTCATATACTGAACAATAAGTCAATATAGTGATTGCCGTGGCAGGCCTATCTTAAAATGCATTCACGTATTTTCAAAGTATAAGAGTGTTGGAAGTATTTTCATTGAAATGAGATGATGATTTATGCAGTGTGCTGATGCAGAGGATTTGTTTAATTACAGATTACTGTATTTGGCATACAGCAGGAATAATGCCAAACAATGAGCTTACAATCCAGGTTTGGAAAATAGTTTTGTCTCTAAGATTTGAAGAAAGTTCATAGACAATATTAAGAAGTGAACTAAGAGAGAGTGACATCACCCATATAGGCTCCAATTAAATATAAACACCAGGATAATGTAGAGAAACAGAGACAGAGAAAAGAGGGGCAGACTTACAGTGCAGTGCATTTCAAAGTGCATAGTGACACTTCAGATCCCAATGAGGAGAGAAGTGGAGCATGGGGACTCCTGTGCCCTCTCACCCTATCCCACAATCACTGCCATCACCATCCCACTTCATAATATCCATCCTGACCATGGCCTTTATAAAGAAGATACATATACAGGGCATATGTATATATTATATATACAGTCTGTAACACATGTGTTTAGAGAAGATTCCAAGCCTGGAGAGAGGGTGTTCATGTCAGAATCAGAAAAGTAAGGATTTGCATCCTCTTTCCAAATTCATTCAAACCAACAGAGACGCAACTTATTATTCAGAGGAATCCTCAGTGAAGGAGGGAGATTTTAGACAAGGACACCTCAGAAATACCATGAGCATTTAGGCCAAGTGGGAGAGAGCAAATAGTGTTGAGTATCTTAAAGCAGAGCGTCTGTAGCTCAGTGATGGTGGATGCTGGGACAGCAGCACTATTTAAGAGCATTTGATGCAGACCATGTCTGAAGAGCTTTACTGCCAGTGTGCTACATAAACCATTGTTCACCAGCTCTGTGATTTCCACTAAAGGGGTCGCTGTGGGTTGCCATGGTAACCTTTCAGTATAGATGGCCTGCTTCTTTTCCAACAGCGGTGATCATGAGCATCATTGGAGGAGTATCATTAGCGGGCGGCCCCTGGGGCTGTGATGGGTGCCTGGCTGGGACATTAGAGTGTGCAGACACAATGACAGACAGGTTTGGCCTATGTGTAGTGAGCACTGAACACTGTTACAACACACCTGTGTATCTGCTGCTTTCAGCTGGCTCCGAGGCAACAAAGCCATCCCACGCCGATCCCACTGTTGTGTCAACACATGGTGATTGTATCATCCCTCTAAAGCCTGTCATTCACGCTCCTACAGCTCCTGCTGCTCCGGCTTTGGGCTCTTCATGGTTCTGTGCAAATGGAGGAAAACACACAACAGCAGCAGCCGCCCACATCACGTATTTGACACACTTTAAGAGGCTTTGAAGACCCTCCCGAGGTAAAGCTCTCACTGAAGAGAGGGCTGAGGGTCCTAGTACATATAAAACCCTCTGGCTCAGACAGTCTGTTTTCTGATTCACATTTGCAGCATTAGAAATAAAGAAATCAAACTATGAGCATCTCTGAAATCTTTGCAATGAGGGCTCTCTAAACTCTTCAGCTGTAGCATGCATATAAATCTACTCAGTTGCATTCAAGTCTGTTTTATTGAGATTTAAGGTGAGACGTACAGTGTTTATAGCCACTTGGGCAGGCTGCCTGCTCAGACAGTGTTGGAGTGAGAGCATGAAATCACACTGAAATGATAAGTGTTTACATTTTCTTACTTTAAATACATTGAGCGAGGCGGGATGAGAGCAATGAGGCTCCAAGTTGGTTCATTCATGGACATCTACAATGCAATGCTCTGATTCTGCTGCTACTTCACCCAGTGCTAAATCATGATGAAAAAGGAGATGCCTTGTGCATCAGGTATTAACACCGCCATTGCGTCTTTAACTAATTATAATATACAGTATATTTGTAGCGAGGTAAAGCTAACTGGTTGCACTGCTCTGTCTGAAGCTCTAATATTCAAGACAAATTCTAATCTGATCATTTATTTTACGTCAATGAAGCATGGAAGTAGATCCCATGCGATGGACACTGACTGTGCTTCTCATTTTGGCATCCTTGGCGATTCAGGGTTTGAAAAATGTTATTGCCAAGCAGGCGCCTTTTCTTCATGTGAATGTGGATTGGACACTGACACCAGGGTGTGCACCAAAGAGCAGATAGGAAATTTCAATGAGATGGAAAATCTAATTCAAGGGAGTCTTCACAAATGGCAATACAACACAATAGCGCCCCTATGTGGAAGAACAGGGAGTTGTAAAGTAATACAAATTTAGCAGCTGTGGATGAAATACTCAGTTTTGTTGCTTGAGTAACATTTGGCTCTGTATCTGTTCATTTACTTAATAAAAGTAGAAATATGACAAAAGTAGAAAAGTAGAAATATGACATGAAAAAAAAATCTACTTAAGTCAATGTATTAAAGTACATTTTTAAACAGGTACTTTAAGAGTAAAAAGTAAAAATATTTTATTTACCATTTAAATAATGGTACATATTTTGGCTAGCAGTTGCGATATGAATCGGTTTAATTTTCTTTGTGAATTTTCTGTGTTTGTTTAAAAATGTCCCTTAAAATGATATGAAAAGTACTTTTTACGTTTCAGTCTGGTTCAAAAATGCAATGGAGTAGAAAGTAGATACCTGCTCTCAAATGTATTGAAGATAAAATAAAAAGGATCCACTTTAAAAATGTAATTAAGTAAAGTACAGGTAATTCTAATAAAACTGTACTTAAGTACAGAACTTTACTATTTTTCCTTAGTTACCTTCCACCACTGGAATTAAGAGTAAGGTGAAATAATAAAGGGTAATGTGTGGACTCGAACACCCAATCACCATCCTTACTTTGTGTCTGCTGAAGAATCACTCACTCAAACACCAGTGTCAGCAGCAAGTCCAGACAGTGCTGAGAGGGTTTTCTGGTCCCTAATGTTCTCTTAGAACCAGGGGCAAGATCCATCAAATACATCGTCTGCTGTGTGTCAAATCATCAGTCTACAATTGCTGCCAGAGAAATCAATAGAGCTGGGAAAATACAGGAATAGAAGTGTGCAAAAATAGCACTCACTGATAAAAGCAAATCTAATTTCTGAAGTTAGGCAGTAATGTATATGTAGTGAAACATTGTGGGTTCCATGCATGGTACTCTCACTGCAGTTTGAAAACACCCTGTGTATCCATGTGTAATTAAAAATCAACAAGCCAAAATACTTACAAGGGATTTAATGAGCAAGCTGAAAATAAATAAAATATTAATGAAAAACGATGTATTCAGTGTATAAAAACAAAACACTTTATTACAATTAGGCTGAAAAACCCAATGAAAACACAACTACTTTACAAGTACAAATGTTTCTCATTGATATTTACAGTTATTTCTTTTGACATTAATAAAAAAGACAATAATGAGAAAACACAAAATACTAAAGTACATGTTTACAGTGTGTTTGCTGCAATAAAAAACAAAGGACTAAAGGAACGTGCATTACTCTGGTATGGCATCTATAGACAAGGAAATTATACATAAAAGGGACTATGAATGGATACACTTAATCTAAGAGGCAGCCTCAGTCTCAGTTCTCATGCCTTTGAATGCATGAATGTCTTTTCTTATGTTGACAGCTGTGGAAACAATATTTAGACTATTTGTTAATTACACATTGATCAAAAGATAGAGATTTGAAAGTGATGGTTCATTACATCAGACCCCAGTATATGAGCAGAAATGCTGAGATTCCTCTGCCAAAAATACAGCAATTAAGCGGGCTACAAATTACTAACATTGGTTCTTCTTTTCTTTTGTCTTTGAGTCAGATGCTTGTCTATGTGTTTCCTCCACTGGGTTTGGCCGGTGTTTTGGCCCGGATATTGCCCTGCCTCGCCTGGCCCTTGGTGGTTTGCTGTGGTTGAGCAGGTTGCTGCACTGGGGACTCTGAGGTGGTGGGTGGGGCGGCCTGTGGTTGGGCTGGGCTGTGAGGAGGTGGAGTCTGGAATTGAGGTGATGCTGCCGTTGCTGTGACGACCTGTTGCTGAATGATCTTCTGCTGCACGACCTGCGCTGCTGCCGTGCCCGCGGGGATCATCTGCACCTGAGCCTGAGCCGAGGAGGGTGCCTGTGTAAGAGCCACGGTCTGAGGCTGGATCTGACCACGACATTCAAACAACAAACATTTTACTCTGTGAACACTGTTCTATAGGCAACATTTTCAGTTTCTTCTTACGAATCAGGCATTCACAAAATTTACAAAAAAAAAACAAAAAAAAAACAAGACCCCATTGATTATTCCTTGTATTATCAAAATGTTAAATTCAGTTTTTTTTTTTATTGTTTTTTTTTTTTATAAATCAGCAACAAAACACTGAATCCTTCATAATCTTTTTTTTTTATGTAATCATTGAAAATATTGCTAATGCTGAAGAACATTTTATAAATGGGGCTAATAACCATTTCAGTTATCTTTTAAATAAGATATGTTTTGTGAAAACCATTATCTTATTTCTTTTCAAAAAGACGTAAAAAAATAAAAACATTAAATTAAATAAATCAGGAATTTTATTTCCAGAGCTACTTGTGGACCACTCCTTTCCCAAGCGGTCCCAGTTTACATTTTACACTGACGCACTGAATATGTATTATTCATATTGTTTTTGAGAGGATACAAATCACATTTTCTTCTACCACAAACTACTGCCAAGGATATGAGACTTAAATATTAAAAAGTTTGCAATGTAGCTAAACAACAAATCCAATGATAAATTAACGATTCCCTTTACCTGTTGAGGAGAAGACACTATTTGTTGAATATTGGCCACAGTCGGCTGTTGTTGCACTATTTGTGGGAGTTTAGCAACCTTGTAAACAAGAAAGTCTCAGATAAACAACAGTTCTTGGCCATTGAAGCTCATGTGGGTTTGGTGTTAAGAGGAACAGGGGAGCATACACACCTGAATCTGCTGAGCTCCGGCAGGTTTCTGGGCCTGTGCGATTGAGGTTGTGAAGATCTGAGTCTTTATCCCAGACGGATGCTGTGTAGTGGCGGCATAGGCTACTTTCTGTTGAGGCTGCTGGCCTGCTGGAGCAGCTTGCACAGTTACCTGCTGCGTGGCAATCTGAAGAGGAGAAAAAACCATGACTACACCAATAATTAAAACATAAAATAATACATTTTTAAAAATGGAGATAAATGAAGGTAACCTCCAAGCTTCTAATAAAATATTTTGAAATGAATTCTATTTAAAAACTCAAAAGAACTTGTGGAATGTTCATGAAGTAGGGTAATATTAATGTCTTTCAACTGTCACTACAGAGTTTAATCTGGTCACAAACCAGCATTAGCCAAATGTTTTAGTTACGCCCCTTCTTCTTGTTTTCTTGAGTTTTCAGGCAATCTAAAAATGTATCTGGTTGTGTTTCATATTACATAACAAAGACTGTCACTTGTTGCCAATGTAAACAGTAGCAGACCTTCTGCTGGACAGTGGCTTGTGTTTGCTGAGGCTGTTTCTGCTGCGCGGCAGCTGCAGCCTGAACAGCCGCCTGCTGCTGCTTCTTCATCTGCAGCAGCTGCTGCACCTGCTGCACCTGCATCTGTGGGAAGGACTGGGTCAGCACAGGGCCCCCTGACACACAAAACACAGCCACATGTTAAATCACAGGACAAATCATTCTATAGGTTACAGTGATGCTAACACACCTGTCTTCTGCGCTTGCCCAATAGCAACACTAATGCCTGCAACAGTGACTGGGAGAGTAGTGACTCCAGCAGAAGATACCACAGCAGGGACAGACACCACTGGAGGCTTAGTGAGGGTCACCTGAGCTGTCTGAGCAGCTGGTCCCTGGCCTTGAGCTGGGACTCGGGTCTAAAGAAAATATACTAGAGTTCAGATCCCTATAACAGTCAATAATGCCCTTGCTCTATAATCAATCTCATGGTCATTACCAGTCGGGCCACCTGCAGATTGGCCACAGTAGTCCCGGTAAGCACAGCTCCGGGCCGTGGTGTGGCTACAGCGGTCAGCTGAGGACTGGCCTGAGCACTGGGGGCCGGTTGGACCTGAGTGGACTGTTGGGCCCCTGCTGTCTGCTGACCCTGAGCTGCTGCCACTGCCGCTGCCACCTGCTGCTGCTGCTGGAGCTGCAGCTTGTGCTTGTGCATCTTCAGCAGCTCCTATGGATGAAACATGTACAAAATTAGACTTAAAATCAGAGAGGAGTAAAGCATCCAGAGCCCTATCCTCAGCCCTAACCACAGCAGTGTACGAGTGTGGCCCTGATGCCTGTACCTGTGATTTCCCCACCGTTTTGATCTGAGGAGAAGCAGCCTGCTGCTGCTGCTGGAGCTGTTGTTGCCTGAACATGAGATGCGCCTGAGCCAAAGCTTTGCCCTGCGGCAGTGTAATTCCTGCGGCTGAACACACAACACACATTTGTCAAAACACAGTCAAAGTGAAGAAAAAAAATTACTTCCTGTTCATACTTTGAGTAACTTGGGGGACTAGTGGGCGGGTCTGGGCTTGTACCGGGCTCAGAGTAGTAGACACTACAGCAGATGCTGTCATCGGTGTGACAGCTCGAACACTCTGCCCTGTTGCAATGGCAACCACCTCGGCAGGAGCCTGCGCGGCAGCAGGTCTCTGCTGAGCATGTACGACCTGGGCTCCAGCGGGCTGCAACAACAGCACAACAATAAGCTAATAATACCACAGTCTCAAGCACCAAGCAAGAAGAACTGATGAAGAGCATAACTCACCGAAAGGGTGCCAGAGATGACTGGAGATGCCAAGCGTTTGTTGGCCTGGAAGGGACTTGGAGGGACTCCAGCTACTGTGTTGACAATCACATTGCCCGCTACAGTGGCTGAATGCAACAGGGATAAATAAATTATTCACTGCACTAGAGCAGCTCTGTAATGAAAACCACATACAACATACCCGTCTGAATTGTTGTGCCCACTGTGGCATTTTTTATGGTTCCAGCCTGTAAAAACATACACATCAGTCAGACTGGACATTATTAAATTATGATAAAAAAAACCATGTTAGCAGTGGTAGTTGCCAGTCTGTACCAGAACAGCAGCATTAGGCGCTGCGGCTCCTGTGACAGCCGTGGCCTGGGGGACCTGAGCTGCTACTTGGGCCTGGCCTGGAGCTGCCACTGCGGTCTGAGGGCCTCCAGCCTGTTGTGCCACCTGCTGGGCTTTCTGCTGCTCCGCAAGGGCCTGCACATACAATAAAGAAGGAAATTACTTTAGGCACAATGCTGCCAAGGTACAACATTAATACACTAAAATTTGTGTGTTGATGGGTCACCTTTTTCTCTTTTGCAATCCTTTCAGCACGCTGTGATGCGACTTGAATAGGAGGCAAGGGCTTGTCGTAGCTGATCCCACTGGAACAACAGCACAAGACATGAGGTATTGTTGAGGATTTAGACAAGTGTCATAGAAACATTAGCATGAACAGACCTCTCAGCCAGAACGGAGGCGTGTTTAGGATTTTTCTGAAAGGGATTCATTCCAAGGCTGAATTAAAACAAATAAACAAACAAAAAAACATTAATACTGTGGATTAATATAACATCCTATTAGCCTATATTAAGGTCTTCCTCATCTGGTCCTGGTAGGTACTCACAGTGGTTTGATTGGTGGGCTCCTTTTGCTGGCAATGATTTTCATAAGCTCAAATCGACTGTTATAGAGTTGAATTTGTGTTGAATTGTCATCTTGTGTGTAAATCTGACAGGTTCTCAGAGGACGACTGTTCTTAGACTAAAACGAGACAGAAAACAAGCACTATTATTTTTATATATTTTTTATATACATATACACACACACATATATATATATATATATATATATACATACATACATACATATACATACATACATACATACATATATATATACACACATATACATACACACACACACACACAAAATGTCAGGAGCTGTGTGTAAAAGTCACCTTGTATATGCTTTTTGTTTTCTTCTTGGGATTTGCTTCATACATCAACTGAAATAGCAAAATGATAAGTCAGATCAAATATTCATGATGCTACTCGGATTGAAAACTAGCAGACAATGCCCACCTTGCCCTCTTCTCTAGGGATGATGACATTCTCGTAGCGGTTGCGACACTGTTTGGGAGAGCGATAGATACGGCTGCATGAGTTGACCACATCACTGACCAGGTCCCAGTTGGGTGTGTGAGCGGGGGACACTATCGTCAGGTTCAAAGGTAGCTCCAACAACTGCTTCACAGCCTGCAGTAGTTAGACACAACATGAACATTTGTAACTTCTACTGTGGCTTGTTTCCATGGAGCTCCAAATGCCTGATGTGAATACTGTCTTGTACCTGAAGCAGTGCCCAGTCTTCACTGATGAGCCACTCTGGGTTGTCCTGGCTGCTCTCCATGGCAGGCTTAGCCAGGGAGGGCAAGGGTTTGGCAAAAGGAGCCTGCTGTTTCAGAGAGAAGTTCTTCTTCTGGTCTTTGCATTCACGTCGTACTTTTAGCATGCTGGCCTTTTCGAACAGAGACCGTGGAGGAATCACAGTCTCTCCATGGCCCTTTTTCTTTTTTCTAGCAGCTGCTAACAAAATTAATCACATGACATTAACACTTTTAAAATACATTGGAAAAAATGCGAAAGGTAAGAGGTATCCCAACATACCTGAAGGGTCCATCTTGAGACGCTTGTGCTCTTTGCGAATGTATATTGGAGGCAGTTTTGACTCTGGAATAGGTGTTGTATCATACATAAGACACATGACAGAGTCTATGTAAATGTCATTATCGTCCTGTGGTGGTGTGGGAGGAGTCCAAATCTGTGCAGGAAAATTTTAACTCAGACTTTGACATATTACCACAGACCTACTATGCTGAAGCAAAGCTACAAAAAAAAAAAAAAAAAAAAAGTATTTACCGGCATGATCTCTGTATGACCATCTTCTGCATCAAATACATATTCCTATTCAAAGTAGGAAAAAAAAACATGTTTGGGCTGTGTGCATCTTTCATGAGCAGTAAATAAAGACAGGTCCTGACTGACCATGTTGTATGCATCCTCTCTGGTATAAGTGAACAGATCCTCATCATCTTCCCTCATCTGCCTCTCCTCCTCGTCCACTTTGAGTTTTTGAAGCTGGTGCAGTTCCCAGCTTCTTTTAGATGACTCCAAACGCTCCTGGGGCAAAGACAGGAGGTTGAGTTAAATGAACAAACAACTACGTGTACATATGCGTACAAAAAACTCCATTACCTTAACAACTGTCTCATCGTCATTGACGTGAATGTACTCCAGGTAATGCAGGGCATACATTTCAATTGGTGTGAGCTGCAAAAGAAGCAAATATAGACTTCAGCATCACTAATGTAGGCATTTTTCCTATTGTTTTATCACCACTGACCTGCTCCATGACAGCATTCAACTCCTCTATCTGGGCAGGCTCCATTTGATCCTCTGGATTTTCTTCTTCCTCTGCTGACTCTTTATTTGTAATTTCCTCCTCCATCTGTTGGTAGTCTTCCTCATGTAGATCATCCAGGTTTATGCTGTGAAGCGCCTGAATGTACGGTCGAGCCACTTTGGGAGAGATGGCCTCAGAGGCAGAAGGCTCTTGATGAAGAACCACAAATTCCTCAACTTTCTCTCCTGATCCAGCCTCCACTTCAAACAGATCCTGGATGGTCCGCTATTTAAAAATATAAAATCATACCAGAAAACATAGTGAGCAATACAATATTAGCAAAAAGTGCAAACAAGGTTTGTGAGTATCTCGACCACCTAACCTATACATTATTGGTAACCCTAGGTGTGTGTTTTAGGTCACCTGTGTGAGAAAAGCCAGAGTGTAGTCTGTGCCCTGCGCAGCCACTTCTCGTATAAGATCTTTGGTGCCATTCTTCAGCAGTTTCTCCTCAATTGAGTTTCCACTCTCTAACCTAAACATGGTCAGACATGGTTGGATATACAGTTGATATTTACATCACATCCAATTAGCAGGCCATACACACCTGTAAATGTGCACATCCTTCGAGCGGCCAATCTTATCACACCACTCCTGAGTGCAAGAGTCTATGCTTGGATTGAGGTCAGTGTCATAGAAGATGATAGTGTCTGCATCAAACACAGTACCGACTGAGGAGCAGCAGTGGTTGGTCAAGATGCTGCAGAACAACTGCCTGTTCCTGTTAAATCTCTTCATATTCTCCTACAGAAAGAGGACACACTTTTGAAAAATGAAAAAATTATAGAGAAATACAATTTAAAAAAAAAAAAACAATAATAAATGTGCACTTGTCTGTAGGCCCTGAAAGGAATAGCATCCAGCAGGGAGGGAAGAAAGTAGTTTATTATACCCCATTAAAAACCAAACCTCTCCATTCATAAGAGGCCCTGGTGTAAGTTGGGGACCAGATTCCTTTGATATACAGACTTATTTAAAATTGAAATATAATGAAATGAGTGTTCTATAATAATTCACACATGGCATTTTACCCGTCTTTCATCTGGAGTAAAGCTTTCATCCACCCGAACATAAGACAACTGTCTATGATCCAGAAATGTTTCCAGAATGTCCAGCATCTTCACCATCTGTGTAAAGATGAGAACGCGCCGATTCTCTGACCTTAGCTTCTGGAGCAAAATGGCCAATGCTTCTAATTTACCTACAGAAAAGCAAAGCATGGTTACAGAATATTAAAAAGCTTCAACAATAAGAAAAGTAAGTATATATTTTGGAATTTAAATAAAAATGTTGATGCACCTGAGTCCATCTGCATTAAGTGCAGATCAGGAAACTGCACAAGTTGTGCTGGTGCAAAATGCTGGATATCAGCTCTGTGGGAGGAGGTGGCCTCAAGCAGTTGACGGTGTAAGGACTTCTGTTTGAGTCGGTATGGCACTGTTGGATTGACTGCATATATGTGAGGGGGCGGAGCTACAGCTGGAGGTACCACACATGCCAGCCTAAAAAGATAAAGATGCATTTAGTTATTTAGAGTGTCAGAGATGGACTATTTTATTCTTGCGCATGTAACATTTTACCTTGCAGCAAGGCTTTTTGTTGCATCCAAGCGATCCTCAACAGACAACAAGCATGACCTCAAGGCAGATGTTGCTCCCTTTAAGGAGGACTTTGCTCGGAGGCAGCTCTCCAGTCCCACCCAGCGCCAGCCCCCAGCGGTTAGAGCAGAGTGACCTGGTTCAGAACTTACTGTACAGGCCTGTACCAGGTCTGTCCCATACAGCACACTGCGGTTACAGCGGCGCTCATTGGCTTCAAACAAGCGGCCCAAACGGTCCTTCAACTGTTGGCTTTTCTCTTCTGATGACTCCTGTATATGAGGGGGAAAAAATTGCATTTGCCATTTAGTTTATTGGCTGTTGTTAGTATAATTAACATGGAAAAATTACTAACCTGAGGAGTTGAATTGACTGAAGTGACCTTTGTGGAAACTGCATTTGAATTTGTATTAACACCCATTGCTGGAAAAGCAAACATGTCATAAAATGTAAAAAAAAAAAAAATAAAAAATATATATATATATATATTAATTTGGATAATTTGAAAGAACACCTTGCTGTGCTGAAGCAGGGGACTGAGTGGTGCCAGGTGTGGATGTGGCATTAGTGCCAGCTACAGTTTGTGGTACACTTTGCATTACCATTGAGCTCTGTGGCCGGATGATCTGCTGTCCTGGGGCAGACACTATTTGCAGGATATTTCCTGGAAAAAATAAAATAATTCAAAATGAAATCTATCAAAAGGTATGGGTGGGTTTTTGAGTCTGATGCAAAAATGATGGTGTAAAAGAGAAAAAAGTGGAAAAGTGAAAAATGTAAAAAAAGAAAAACAGATGGCCATGATGGGAAGTACATTACCGAGTGTACCTTGAAGCTGCAAAGGCTGTCCAGTGGTAAGCTGGCGGAGCTGGCTTGGAGATAATGTAAATTTGGTACCCTGAAACTGGAGGGTCACTGGGGTCTCGGGCTGAGAGATCCGAGTCTGATTGCCAGCTATATTAGCCAGCTGAGCAATCTTCACCACATCACCACCTTCAAAACAGAAAATAAAACTTTACCCACAACAAAAGCTATAACCCAGAACCTCTGCAATATAAACATACAAGGGTAAAATAAATATAATAGTTAGTTTAAGAGTGAAAAGGGTATCATGCAGAACCAAGGTGTATTAATATGTGAAAGAGGCAAAGTTCCTCCACAAGAACAGCATCTTAACATAATGAACCTTCAGGGGTAAAGAAACTGCTTCATGTGTCCTCAGGTAAAACAGAGTAGGATGAATACACATATGATAAAAGCCATTAAATCATCTAAAATGCTGGCAACAAAAAGAAAAACATGGTATTTCCATTCTAAAAGATGTGAATTGTTCAGAATGGTTTAATAGATCATTAAGTCAAATAGAAAACCATAACAAAAGAAATAAAATACCATCACACATAAAACATAAATAAATAAGCAATAACACAAGGCTTTTTTCAGGGTTTCTAAATCATGAACTTGAAAAGGCTTCTGTGTTTACATTGGTGGAAGAAAAACTCGCAAAATGTGGGACCATTTTCCCATGCTTAAAACAAAAAATAATATTAACAAAGAAAGACAAGGTTTCAGGTTGCTTTCTTCCTGCAGATGGGCTAAAGCAAGAAAAAAATATTAGTAATAGTTTGGGAGGCAGCTTTATTAAAAAGGGAGGATAAATTCATTAAGGTTAAAAACTCAAGTGCCAAGTGCAGTAAAACAATATAGTTTCTAGTGAACATGCAGGTCTTGAGAAAGAAACAGGGAACTCCTGAGGCTGTGGAGATGCTGCTGATATGACTTTATATAATTTGGGGGTTTCCATGGAGGTTCAGCTTTCAGCAGTTTTTTGCTGTAATATTGTACCATGTTGGTTTGTGATATTGCTTTAACCATAAACACACCTAAGCAACATATCAGCAGTGCCCCAAGTAAAACCTCAGATCAGAGCAGCCCATACTGCTGTGCAGAGGTAGAGGGGAAATGCTGAAAGGGATGAAGGGGAGGCCACTTACTAGGCAACCGTGCCTGGGCCTGAGATGTAAGAACCAGCCTCTGAGACAGCAAGTTGGGCTGGAGGGCATGACTGGGGGCTAGTGTGGGTCTGGCCACCTGTGAGACCCCAGGCTGGCTCATTGAAGCCATGGATCCCACAACTGTATGGCCCAAGTTCTGGCCCAAAGGCACAGAGGTAACCCCCAGCGCATGCTGTCCAGGCCCACTGGTCACAGTGGCAGACACAGTGGAGGCGGCAGTGCTGTTGCTGTTGCTGACAGGAGAGGTAGTCTGGGCTCTCTGAGTAGCTGTTCCAAACACTGTGAAGAACAAGGCAATTGGGCACGCCACTACATGTTAGGGGTAAGGGCAATTAAATCATCAGGTTTCCATAATAATTTACTTCAGTGCAGGTCAAATGCTGGGTGAAAATACACAAGCAGGGTCACTGATGTCAGTATAAAGCAAGCACACAAAAAAGACTGACTTCACCAAAAACAGGACTACAGTTTTTCCGTGTAGGTTCAAATTTTGACAACTGATAGAAATTTACCATGGGGTGAAGGAATAATTTAGATAAATTTAAATTCATCTTCAAATGTTCATCAGAACACCTTCAAAACTGCACAAGAGACCTGGGACCTTGGACACAGCAGCATTGTCATCCTGGAGCTATCCATGTAATTATTATTAATTATTAATTCTGGTCATTAATGAGGTTGTTAAAAATGAAAAGACATACAAACTGAAACAACCATTCAAGACCATCAGTGGAGCCCAACTCTGTCCCATACTGTATGTATGTGGGATGCAAAGTATCAGTTTGTTCTCTGTTTAATCATAGGCTCAGAGGGGAAGATTTGTCCTTGTTCATTTGTGTGTCCACATTTGAAAAAACCTTACCATGTGAGGTAGGGGCAGTTGCTCCAGTGGTGACAGGGGACTTTCCCCTGGGTTGTGCAGCCGGGTTTGCCATGGGGGGGGATACAGAAGTAACAGAAGAGTTCAAGGCAGGACGTTGGCTGGTCGTACTTGTAAAAGAGGCAAGACGCCCCTCTGGCTTGGTCCCATATGAAACTGGCTGGAACAATCTAAGCACAATTCATACAATTTAAAAATTGGAAATTTCATTTTTTTTAAGTTAGAGTACTGCAAAAATTATGTTACAACAGACCTCATTGGTTTTATGGGACATGGTTTCGGTCGAGAAGGTTGGTCTGGGCCAGTGTAAAGCTCTTCTATAAGTGGCTGTGAGAGCTTTAGTTTAGGTACTGCCTCTTCAGTCTGATAACGAGTCAGTTTGTTCTCATTGTTGATTAAATTAAAGATGGATATGTCTGCAGTCTAAAAAGAAAACACACAGAGGGTTGGAAAAATACAATAAAATGTATTAACATACTAAAATCTAAGCATTTACCATATCTGGATCTTTCTGTATTGCTCCAAGAATCAAAGATGGGACACTGAATTGCAGATTTGAGAAGAAAAATGAACTTTTGGCATCTCTGGGAGACACCAACTCGGGGTGATTGCATACTCGCTGTAACTGCATCAGCACCTGTAGCACGCTAACAAAGTGACCCGTCTTGAGAGCTTCTTGGGTCCTAATCAACAAAATCAATCATAAGCAAGGTATGTATAAGACATCACTTTCCAATATCAGTAGGAAAAATGTGCTCAATGTTACCCTGACTGAGTGAGGATATCCTCATACAGGCTCTTCTGTCGATTGGAAAGACGGCACTTAAGGATATGTTCATATTTCTTGGGTAGCTGTTTCTCCACTTCCCTTTTAGAGCGCCTCAGTATAAATGGTTGAATCATCTACATTTGAAAGCAATGCATGTTTGTTACTGTGGAGTTGTGTGAAAATTTACTATTTAAATGCTGGCAACTAAACCCACCCTGTGTAAACGAATAACCAGTTTGTGGCAGTAGTCTTGGTTTTGGTCTGTGCCTGCCTTCACTGGGAAGTCTGAGTAGGGTCGTGTGATTCCTGGCAAAAGAAAATGGATCATGGTCCAAAGCTCCTTCAAGGTATTCTGTAGGGGAGTGTTGATGAGGAGTATCCTTTGATCGCTGTTTTAATAGAAAACAAAATATTCAAAATACTCACAAGACCATACATGTAGTTGTTTTGGTTAGCTATTACAGGGAACCCACCTTTTGATAGAGAATATGGTTTCCCAGTGTTTCTGAGTGATCTCTTTAATAAGCTGAACCTCATCCAAAACAACATGTCTCCATTTTCTTCTCAGAAAGTGGCTGTGGTCAGCCATGAGAAGCTTGTATGATGTCAGGCACACGTGGAAACTGTTAGCCTCACTCCACCACTGTACAAGAGAGACCAACACTTATAAGCTCGAAGTCTTCGATTTTGTGGCTTAAATGTTTAAACTAAATACAAATGAGATACCTCTCTTAAAGATTTACGCTCTTGTCTGTTGCCAAGGTACAAGAGAATCTTGAGCCCAGGACACCAACGCTTGAACTCGACCTCCCAACTTAGCAGCTTGCTTGTTCTTACAACAACAAGATGAGGACCCCATATGCCTATGCAAATACAGAATGTTAATTTTACATTTAAATATCTAAACATTTAAGAGGAAAAACAACAGAGAATACTCTGTACCTTCTTGCCCAGCCAAGTGTGCCATGTAGGCAACTGTTTGTACTGTTTTGCCAAGGCCAGTCTCATCAGCCAGGATCCCATTGAGGCGTTTTTTGAATAGACTAACCAGCCAGTCAACCCCTATTTGTTGATATTCTCGCAATGACCCATGTAATAGAATGGGAGCCGGGCTGCGGGTCTAAAGCCAAAAGATATATTAACAAATTGTATAATTTAGAAATCTACATAACTGAAAAAACATGTCTTACAGAAGTACTTACAGAAGTAGTGGTTCTAAAACTGCCTTTTGGAAGCAAAAGTTCAGTAGCAGCCGCTACTTCAGCAATGTCTTTAGCAGATTTTCCATCAGAGCTTGATGCAGCTTTTTCACCACCTTTATACTGCTCCACACTCAACAAGGAGTCAATCACCACAGCTTCAGGTGGACTGCCCTCTTCACATTCTGTTTCTACCGAAAAATGTAAATAAATGAAGACAAAAAAGCAGAAGTTACATTGGTGAGGAGAAACGCACCTTCAGAGTCTGTGTCGTCATCATCCTTTGGAGGGCTTGGCTTTGGCCACTCAAAGCCATCAGCATATGCACCAGCATACTGTTTCTTCAAAGCATCTAAAGACATTTCCGCTAGAAAAGTAAAAATGCAGGGTGTTTCATAATATTCCAAACAAACTATGTACAGTAGAATGGAAATGGAAATACAAAGTATGACAAAAATATGTATGTAAATAGTAAAAAAATGCATATCATATATCATATATATACCTTCTTTGGCCAAGTCACCCAGCTCAGTTTTGTGGTCTGCATGGCCCTCCATGGCCTCCTGTTCCTCTATAGTGCTCTCTTCATCAGCAACTAAAAAACAAAAAAAAAAAAACAAGTCAAAAAAATGCTGTCATTACAAACTAATAAGCAAATACAAGACAGATTAATAAAATACAGTTTACATGATTTTTCTTACCATCCTCATCTGTCAAAGATAAACTTGATTTTCTTTTCCGGCGTGATGATGCCATTTCCTTAAAGAAAAAAGAAATTTAGGATCTTTTAATGCAATAGGTTTAACATAATCAGAAATGCACTTCCCACCTCTTTATCAGCATTTTCTCCTGTTTGTTGACTAGACACTGTGAAATGGAAAGTATTCAGTTAAGTCCATTTGTGCATGTATAAATAAAAATAATTCCAAGAATATACAGGTAAACAGCATACCTTTTGCTGACATATTTTGTAACTTTAATGCTTTAAGTCTTTTGTCATACATCTGAAATTGGAGTTTAATTTCCACAACCTGCAGTAAAAAGCACATACCCAATAAGAATTTCAGCCATTATCAATTTCTATAATTACACATTTAATTTAAAACCTACTTGCTCAATGTTAGACCAGAAAAATTCCACCTCTCTGGCAATGGTACTGGCAATATGACGAAGGTGAATGTCTTGATTGGTCTTTGATCGTTCTTCTGTTTTCTTTTGCTCCTGATGGTACCTTGCACAAGTGCGAACCAGCTGTTGTGGCGATATAAACAATTTAGTTAGTGCATGTGTGCTTTATCTTTATTGAACATAAATAAAAATGTCCTACCTTCTTAGCAGCAGCTTCTTTCCATCTTCTTTCCTGTGCAAAATCTGCTGCCATCCACTGCATTTCCTCTAAAAGGTAGTCCCATTGGGACTTAGGTCGTGAGGCCTCCATAAGTTTGGGAAGCCTACTTGAGGACCACTGCCCCTCCTTCCTCAGTTCAGAGATGCGCTGATGCACTTGACTTTCCTGAGGGACGATAAAAGAAAATTAGCATACTTCTCTTCAGGCTATAAAATAAGTTTTGTCTTTGAACTTACCAATTTGGCCTGCTCATTTTGCTTGTCTTGAGAACCATCTTGTGATGTCTGCATAGAACCACCTTGACAAAAACCTCCCATTTTCACTGATGAAATGCCATTGGTACCAGTGAGTTTGGACTGGGAGCTCGGGTTTGTGCTTGAGCTGAGTGGCCGTGCAGTGACTGCATTATGAGCAGCAGAAACAGCGTTTGACAGTGGAACAGGTGACACACTGGCCATGGAGTTGGCCATAATCCGCTGGACTTGATTGGGTTCTGTTGCTGGACGAGCAAGCGCCACAGTCTGAAAGAAATAATTTTTAATATATAGGAAAAGAAAACCACTGCTTTGACAGTTTAAAAACGTTCTTTATTGTTTAACTTACTGCCTGTCCTGTTTGCAGCATTGCCTGGGGTTGCTGTTGACCTGGCTGCATCTGAAGATGCATTTGCTGCTGGAGTTGAGCTTGAAGCTGAGCGTGAGGATTCATCTGTGCCAGGACAGCCCCACTGGCCTGCACCTTCACCTGTGCCTGGAGCTGAGCCCCGGGCTGGCCAGTCCCATCTACCAACTGAGCCTGTTGGGAGAGGGCCAAAGGCAAGCTTGCCATAGGAAGGGTCCCCTGGGGTAGCCTGCCAGGTAACTGGGGTGGGGGTGTGTGCAGACTTGCAGCATTTTGCACTGGGGGTCCTTTGGATGGGTCGTATTGCTGCTGATTCTGCTTCTGCCCTGCAATCTGTACTGCTTGAGGAATAGGTGAGGAATAGGTGGCATCCCTCCTATATATAGGTAATAAAATGATAGGCAGAATAGGGATGGTAAAGAGAGTAACACAAAGAGAAATAATCAGTTATGAGTAATATTATTTACTTTTGTTGTTGTGTGTCTGATTATCTAAAATGGTTTACTACAATGTTTCATACTGATCCCTTGATATAATTTTAGGTTTAAATAGCTGAAAATGATTTTTTGTTGACTGTTTAGAGCTCCTCAGGATGTTGCTTTAATGAAATAGATATGAATACTATATGAATAAACAGCAAAGTACTAGTTTCTGATGATCCGAGCAAAAATTAATGGAACTCATACAGCAATGATTACAGAAGAAATTAAATTAATATGATCATCTAAACATTTTCAAATAAAATACTACTTTGATTAATGCAGAAAACCAAAATATTGCATTTTAAATGTTGAGAAATGTAATTCAACATCAAAAACTATACATGCAATAATAAAGGTATTTTAAGAGGAGGAAATAGTAATGATTCATAGGAAAATGGCACAAGTAACAGACAGGGAGGAGAAAGGGAAAAAAGAAAATACAAAGCAGACACTAAAAGACCATGTGGTTCAGCATGCATGAAGGAATGTAGCAATATCAAGGCATGTAAATGCCTCACAGAGCCACAGAGCACAGAGGTGAGCAAAGACACACATGGGGTCTTGCAGACAGCAGGCCTGAGCGGAGCTGTGCACACTAAAGCAGCGCCTGCCTTACCTCCCTGAACGTCACTTCACCTGGCCTAGACGGCATCAACACAGCCCTGACTCACCCAACCACCACAATCCAAAACCCTGAGCCGTGAACAACTCCTCCACATGTTTCCCCTCCTACTTAGACTGAGGGAAAGAAGCCAAGTCAGAACCAAATGCCATGACCAACATGGAACAGGAAACTAAATATGAACATGAAAAAATCCGCAGGATGAGAGACAAATGATGATAATGAGGATTTTGAATCCTTGATAATATTACAAAATACATGTGGAATAAAAATGATCAGAGAATGGATGACAATGTAAAACCAAATTATTATATGTGCAGTATGATACCATAAAATGGAAAAAGGTTTAACCCGTTTGAGTTAATTTTTTTCCATAAAGCTTCCAAATATTTCAATGATCCCGCTCCACAAAAAAGATGAAGGTCCAGTAGTATGGAAGGTCTGTCCAAAAAAGAAGACTTAGAAAGAAGACATTATAAAGAAGAAATGGATAAGACTGATGATCAGCAGAGGAAAAAAAAAAAAAGGCTTAAAAAAAAAAATCACAAGACATGGCATCTTCCCATTGAGAGGCTACTCTTCTTCAGACTGGAATTATCTTCTTCCCAATTTACTCTGTTGGTAGAACTAAACCTGAATGAACTGCTGAGGACTTCAAGCTGTTGCTGGGATCTGCCTGTTGATGCTTGTTTGTAGCAGAGGACACTGTGATTCAGTTTGTGATCTTCTTTGATTTTAGGGGGCATGTGTCCAGCAGCATCGGGCAGAACAAAGAGTGGCCTGGTTGTAGCACTCCTACCTTGCGCAGTTGGCATAAGCTGCTGGAGTGGAACGCCAGGTGATCCTAAAGGAGCTACACCAGGATGCTGGAAAATCAGCCCATGGCGACCAACGTCAATCCGGGACCTCTTAGCCTGATCTGGGATTTAAAACACACAATACCCTCAAAACGGAAAAAAGCACTAGGTATAAGGCAATGACCGGCTTGAGACCACATAGGTCACCTCTCCTTCCTCCAGTTAAGACTTGAAAATTGAACGCTAAAACATGATGCCAAAATTCTAAAAGCAGAAGCAATTAGAGGGGAGAAAAAAAGAAACAAAAAAAGCAAACGGGGAGGAAACAGAGCAACAAAAGAGACACAGGAGTCAGCAGCCCTTGCCCTACCTGCTTGCACCATTGCCTGCTGCCTCTTAAAGGCTTCCATGTCTCCAGCACTGGCAATGCCCCCAGCAGCAGTTCCCTGTAAGCAATCATGGTTTAGATGAATGAAATATAAACTTATACAACTTGTGATTGATTCTTCTTCAAAACATCTTTATCACCTGGAACTGCTGCTGGGCAGAGAAAGCTGCAGAAACGTTAGGTGGAAGCTGTGTTGCTATGGCAACTGGTGTCACAGCTTGACCGTCCTTTCCAGTGACGACCTTCACCTGAAAGAAAAAAAGTTATGTAGAACACTTCCACACACTAAACCACTAAAACAAAACAACTACTACCTCATCATTTATGACTTCAGACTGCTCTTCATCTTCCTCCTCATCCTCAAGGTCCAAGTCATTCTGCCTCAAGTATGTATACAAGGGAACACAAGGTTTTTTCTTAAAAGCTAAGTAGTCCATCATGTTTCCCTGTAGATGCTGGAGAAAAAATAACTCAATCAGATATTCTTTGAAAACATCCTTCAGGTTCTCCATTTTCTTTGTATGATGCTCCAAGCACTGCTTCCTCAGTTGAGCAATCTCAGGAGTAGATGGTGCAATCTCTTCCAGCTTCTTAGGAGCCTGCTTCTTTATTGCCCCCACAGCCATGCCGCTGGATCCCAAGGGATTGCTGGGAATACTTTGTGTGGCATTGGTGAGGGAAGGGCTTGATGGTGGAATAGAAGTGGTATATTGAAAGACGTTGTGACTGTGGAACCTACACCAGCAACCACACCCTGTGGGGTCTTCTCAAACATCATTGGGCGAGCTAGCTGTCCTTGTATGATATTGCTGATCTGTGGAGGTAGATTGGAAGTGGTAATATGCCCAGGGCTGCTCAGAGTTGGGAGAGCACTCCCTGTTGCCACAGGACTTTGAGGTCCAAGATGGTGGATGGTGCCTCCTGTCTGTGAGTGTGGTTGAGAGAGACGACGTTCCCGCACAGAGCCTGGTGTAGCTGCTGTAGCCAGCTGCACTTGAGTCGCTGTTGCCGGTGTGATTTGAGCGAGCCCAGTTCCATCTTGATAAACAAAGTGACTACCTCCAGAAGGACTGCCTAAACTGATCTGTCGCACTAGCATACCAGCTTCAACAAAGCGAGTGGGGCTTTGTGCACAAACATTTAAGGCTGCTGCCGGAGCTCCAGGGCGTGTCACTGCTGTGACTGGGCTGTGCTGGGTAGGACTTTGAGGAGGAATGGGCTGAGGCACAGGTGAAGTGACCTGGATGTAAGAGGACTGTGCAGGCTCAAACCTCCACTGTGGTGTAGTGTGCTGAAAACCAGGGGAAGCAGGGGTCTGAAGGGGCACAGGGGTTAGAGTAATTTGTTGGTTTCCAGTCACCATCTGTCCTACATTTTGTAAAGTGATGTTCATGTTTTGGCCAGTAACTGGGCTTCGGCTCATGATTATCTGATAATTGGGCGATTGGGGTGCTGAAGGGCTGGCAGCAGAGGTAAATGTGGTCACAGGGGACTGAGGGTGATTAGTTGTAGCCTGCTGTTGTGTAGCTGCCAGGGCAGGCTGCTGCTGCGGTGGCGCTTCCTCAGCTTCAGATCCACCTGCTGACTTTGATCTCTGAAGTTGTCGTTGAATATTCTGTGATCCACTTCCATGGTGCATTGCTTGGTGCTGTAAAGATTATTCACAACTGTGAAATAGAAGTACAGTTCCCATTAGTTTGCAACATAGGCTAGTATCAACACTGAATACAACGTGCTAAACACAACACATGTTGTCATTTATTATTGCAACTTGTCTCAAGAGTCGTTTATCAGGCATTTGATAAACCGAAAGTCCACTATCATAATTAATTATTACAAAATAACTGACCACATATCAACTATTTTGCAACGCTGATATTCTAAATTATGTACTCAAGCAAAATAAATAAATAAATGTCTATTGATTTGGTTTTCTCGATTATTGATCGTGTATTACTAGCTTTGTGAGACAAAAGCAATTTACGGAATACTAGCTAATTATTAAATAACCTCACAAATGTGTCAGCGCAAATAAAAACTGAACAAATGATTGATGTCATTAACTGAGTTTATCATTCACAATTTTTAAATAACCTGAATTTTATGCATAAAAGCATTCTGCAGCCGATGAATATTCTAATATCATACGGCATTGCCGTTTTCTGTATGGGCTCGGGGGTGTATAAGCTAACGCCGCTACATAACCGATTCAAACACATTTATAAACAAGTCGTAGATCTGTATGCAAATACAAATCCTAAATTCGTGATATAAGGCAGTTGAAATTCACGGCAGAGCATGGTGAATGGCAATTTTCAAAATTTTTGAAAACAATAACCCTAATCCAGGCGCGTGCTAACTAGAGCCCTGGATGTTAGCTTGTTTTTTGCTAACGGGTAATAAAGGCAATATGAAAATACAAAGGGAACGTACTTACAGAGTAAGGAGTTTTCTAGTCTTTCTTTATGTCCCAAGTCATGTTTACACACGAGTATTTGAGGCAACAAGCGTCATTATGAGATTGAATAAAATAAAGATATTGCTAGCGGCTACCTAATGTTTTGAAGCTAATTTCATTCAGCAACATGGCGACCGCATCGACCTTTTGTGAACCCCGGAAGTAGTTCTGCATGCACGCTGTGATGTTTTTTGTGTTTACTTTTCTTTGTATTTTTACTGCTTTGACAAATACTCATACTCGTGTGAATGCCTATCTTAGAGTGACCAGAACCCCCCCCCCCCCAAAAAAAAAACAAAAAAAAACAAAAAACGTTCTGGAAGAATTTCTAAATTATGCCAAATGTCATCAGTTGATCAGTTGGACACTTATTTTCGTTTTGGAGGCAGTCTTTGCTCATCTCATCAGATACAATCATGGATCTTCAGTAAAATCTTATTACACTTCCACACAAGACAGGCACTTCTCCTGTACTGTGCGTCTGAACTCCGCCTTTCTCTCCTCGCTCCCATGCGTGATCAGAAAAGTCACCAACATTCATTAAACGTATTACCAATGCATATTAGCTACCGTGGAGGTTGGATGATCATGACGCAGTTCTTCATATCTTAAACTCCACATCACTTCTTATTTGATGAAAACTGACCTCATATTGGTGGAGATACGTTCATAAATCCCACGCTCAAAGTTTGTTGCAAACTCAGACGCACCGAACTGCGGCGCGGGCACGCTAAACTGGAATTGTCTCACCCCCAGTAGCGGTATCTCATGATAAATACAAGATAAAAACGTGTTCACACGTCCAGATATCTTTAATGTTCGTCCTGCTCCCAATCACAGACTGAAGCCTCCTGTCTGTGAGAAGTGACGTGGAGCAGGGGACAGGGGACATAGACTGTCAGGAAAATAACTCATTAAAAATATAGGTTACATTGGTTTATATTATTGAGCTATAGCTTAGTAGACCTCTAAAAAGTAATGAAATACAGTAACAAGGTGAGAACCCCAGACACACATTTGTAATATTAAATTCAAAAACGAACAGAAATTACCGGTTACAAAGTACAAACATCGCCAATTTTTTCGCTGTCCTTCTTTTTGATAACCCCAATCTTGTCACCCAACTTATCCAATTATTAAACTAAATACCAAACAGAGAAACTGGAAAATGTACAAATATGGGTAAAGTGTTTATTTTCACACACATACACCGTATTTTTTTCAGAGTAAGAAAAACAAAAAACAAAACTATAACAGCACACCACCCGAGTCAGTGTTAACCTGAATTTTACCAAACTTTGAATGTGACAACACACACAGTCAATCACACAATCAAGTACAATTCCACTGCTCAATTCAGTTAAAAATAAATACTGTACAATAAACATTTTTGTTTCAAGTAAACCCCATTGAAAACTTTCTCAGATGTATGCCTGTGCAAAATGCTAAACACAAATCTAGCACAATAATTAACCTGATTCATATTTAGTAATTAAATAATTAGGCTACACCAGCTGAGTTCAAGTATGTCCAGCATAATAAAATATAAATCAAAAGCCATAAAAAGGGAAATAAACAGATGCTACATGTGGTCAGCTCCTGTAATAAAGTGCTTCAATCAGCAAAAGGACAGAAAAAGGTAAATATTTCTGGACATACACATAGAACATCAGAAGGTGTGAAGAGCTGACAGCCGCCTCTCAATGCACTGTTTACCTGTAAAAAAAAAAAAAGGTTCTAATCAAATGCTGAGAATAAACAGGTAACATTGTATATATTATGACAATAAACGTAACACATACATTTCTCAACACTGTCAATGTCATTTTTTTCTGTGAGGATTCTTGACAGGCCCTCCATAAGAACAAGGGCCTTATGGTATCTCTGTATCGAAGCTAGCCCATAATGAAACATTTCATCAAGGGCAGCAGACTGCACCTACACGTTTAGCACAATGTTAAAACAAGTCATGTAAAGTGTTGAATGTTTACAAAACAGTATGAGCTTACCATGTGAACTGTGTGGCTATAAATGATCTTCTCTGCTGTTAATCCATTGAAGCGATCAATGAGCTTCTGTTTGTCAAGAAGGAAGTTTTGCAGTTGATCATTGAGTGAGCGACAGTTGGACACACAGCACTTGTACATGTCATTAAGTCTCCGAATTACTAAAAGAAACATAACATCCCAAAAATATAAACGTGGAACCAATCAAGAGGCATATTCAAATGCCTTCGTCATTATTACCTTGTTTTACTGTTGCAGAGGGGAGGAGTTGGCCTTGTTTGATATCTTCTTTGGCAGAATGTAAGGATGAGGAAAGAAAATCTTCAGCCTTCATGTATAGCACTAATTGACTGGCATAACTGCAAAGATACATCAAAATAATATGTAAAAAAAAAAAAAAAAAAAAAGCACAGAGGAAAAAGATGTGTCTATTTTCATAATATACACTATACCTCCACTCTCGACTTAAAAGGCTGATTTGATCGGTCAACATGCTTTGTTCCAAAAAGGAAACATCAGGGCTGCTGGTGGTATTCAGACTTGGATCTTTTGACATTGCTAACTCCATAATGCAGTGAACAAAAGCCAGAGTAAAACGTAGATTATTCAGCGAATCTGTATGAGATTGCTGGAAAAAACAAATACAGTCATGTCCATAGTGTAGTTACAAAGTACAATTTAAACAATGAAATGATGAGCAATATAATATTTGTAGTACTTTCAGTACAACAAATATGGTTGTATACCTCCATCAGTGTATCTTCAGGAAGCTGTGGAGGATGAAACACCACATTGGTCAGAGGACTGTCATCCATAGCTTCAGTTTCACTGTTTTTATGATTTCCTCTCTGAAGGGGGCGACTGCTGATCCAGGGAGAGCTCTTATAATTGGGTGAGCCAGCTAAAATAAATGACAGTAAATAATAAATAATAAGCAAAAAAGCATACATAGCAGTGAACAGTAAACATACCAGGTAGCATCCTTGTGTCTGCTGGAACACTTCCTCGTCTTGGGGACTCTATTGTGAACACAGTTACAGGGGAGCCATCTGTTAAAAAATAAAATCATTTAACCACAAGATGGTGCTAAACCAGTTCAACGTGCCATTTATTTTCAAGTCCTTTTAACATATGGTACTAGATTCATTTCTTACCCATATCTGTCTCACACAGGCTCTCCTGTGATCCTCCATCCAAAACAGTAGCTTCATATGCTGCTTTCAGAAGCATATCAGACAATCTGGTAGTGCTTATTGCTCTGTAAATGATTCAGACAGTTGTTTAGTGTAAATTTAAGGCCTGTAGAACTAAGGTATTAGGCATATTTGACCCTGACCTTTTAATATGACCTTTGCTGCTATTATAGGGAACAAACTGGCGAAGAGATGGCAAATCCCCAACTGTTCTTCTCCTTTTGTGCAAGTTACTGGGGACCTGATGAAAGACAGCAAAATGAAACAACATACAAGTTTACTTTCAAAAGCAATTCATTTCCCAGAATAATTTGACATAGACTTTCTACAAATTCAAATTCTACTAATAATACAAACCCCCAGTAGACCATCTTTTATATCAGTTAGCAATAATGTCCTGGTGCCGAGTGGTAATGTCGGCTCAGGGACCTGTGGTGTAGCTCCACCTACAACAAGATGTTTTATGTTATAATTTGAAAGCAAAGTGGACATGGCTTTTTGAGTCCTAAATCTGTGCAAGGCATTACTATGTTTAACACACTTTCAGGAGACGATTGCTGTGGCCTTGCCCCTCCTGTGGCGAACTCTGAAGGTAGACTGCTATTTTTAGCACAACAAAGCTTGACTCTGAAAGTTTGAGAACATAAAGAAAAAAGTAAAAAACTAAATAACATACCAACTACAAGGAGAGATACACTTTATAGCTGATGGGGTGGCACATGCCTGGTAGAGCCATGCAAACCTGCCGGCTGCAGATTCTGTTCCATTCGCTGATAATTGTGGATCTGAGTAGGCACAGGAATGGGCAAGGAACGGTTGCCCTTGCAAGAAGAGGCTGTTAGAGCTTTGCTGATTAAAAAGAAGCAGGAAATAGACAATCAAGAGTTTGTAGATACCCCAAGAGCAGTTGTAGTTACTTGATGCTTTCTTACCTGTCAGAAGTACAAGGATGGGAAAGGAGAGGAGAGTGTGGTGGTGTCATGCCTACTGTTGTTTTATTGACTTCTAACACCAAGGAGCCTCTGTAATAATATATCTTTCAGATAATGCTAGTTATATAGAATTGTGAACAGTATATGTGAAACTCACCCACTGTTGATCAGACAACTCGCAATAGGTGACTCTGATTCTGCATCACTTGTGTATTCACCTGAGAAGTTAAATATATGACTTGGTACACGGCAGTACATTATTACTATAATTAGTTTGGACGGGACAGTGCATGTAAATGGACCTACATGAGGCATCATACAACACTCAACATTCATACGCGTCAACACACTTAAAGGTTGTATGGAGGATTTTTTTTTGTTTCAAGTTGTCAATGATAGCATTATAGAGGTGCAGTAGCCTTGTAATTATGATGACCAAAAAAAAGAGAATAAAAATTCATCAACTCTGGACGTGGTGGGGCCAGCTAAACATTTGCCAATAGATAACGACACTGCCTCGTTATCTGTTAGCTGACAGGCTGTCAATCAATCTCCCTACGGTTCTAGCGTAACTGACTTGCCTGCGCGCCGCCGGTACGTGGTTTACGTACGCCTGTCACGCAGTCCACAGACGCAAGCCGCACAGACGCTGTTTACTCCACCAACGCAACAGTTCTTAGCGGCTTTTTTTGACCTATATCTTCCTTGCAGTTACAAAGTTTGTTGCAATGGCAGACAAGAATCCAGGAGCAGTTAGCCGCAAAAGAAAGTCCGTTTTTGAGGTCGCTGAAAGAAGAAGACAAGGGGAAAAGCAGCGAAGCCAAACTAAGGTGATTCTTATAGATTCATTCCAGCGATGGCGCGACTGAAGCAGACGCAGGGTCTAAAGACTGACGCATTGGTCGCCAAATTACTCCTGGACAGGTCACTTCTGCTTATTATGAAAACGTACTTTATTTCCAAGAGCTAGTCAAACGTTTTTCAGGACACAAAAGCGATATCCTATGTCTGAAAACGTAATTTTCAAGGCAAAGAAAGAGTCCGCTTGCTGCTGCGTGTTGTAGCTAGTTCATTCGCACGGAATCTCCGCGCAACCTTCTCTGCACCCCTTTCCTGCTCCTGTCCCCGCTGCCCGTTCCGCTCTTCCCCCTGCTCCTCACTTCTCCGGACACGGAATCTCCGCGCACCGCTCCCCTCTCCTCTCTCCTCTCCCTGCTCCGCTCTTCTCCCTGCTCCTCACTTCTCGTCCGCGAACGAAATGTCCGCACACCCGCTCTCCCCCCGCTCCTCACTTCTCCGTCTTGCCTAACCAACACTGTAGTTAGTTGTTTACAAGTCATGTGCAGCGCACCGGCTGTAAACAAACCTGTTTCTGGCGTAAAGAGGAGGCGGGAGGAGGCGTTTCTACGTAGGGAGCTGTAGGGGAGGGGGGGTGGTTTCACGCATGCGCAACATTTGAAAAAGGACAAACAGTCGCTGGATTTCTCGTTCCTTGGAAAATCCTCTATACAGCCTTTAAGAGACTAAGGTAAGTGAAATAGGGATCATTTTAAAACATGTTCAATGTGTTCAACGTGTTCAATATGTTCAGTCTTACTGGGAGATTGGGTAGGCACCATGACATATTCGTCTGTGAAGGATGAGACATTCCTATGATCTTCAGCTCCTTCTGTTAATGGAAATCCTGAAGAATCCTGTGAAAGTCCATTCAACACATTTTATTTAAAATCACATCTATTTAAATAGGAAAGAATACAAACAATTGTCTGAAACTAACTGGAGAGGAGGCAGGATGCGAGGCTAAGGAGCCACAATTAGAGGAGCCACTGCTTGGGCATGACAACACTGTTGGCGCACCTGTTGAAAAATACAGTATGTATACATGTAAGGCACTGATTTACACTAAAATGATTATAAGATATTGTGCCTACTTTTTCTGGATGATGAGTCCATTTTCATGAAAGGATGGTGGAAAAATTCATCTGTAAAGGTGAAGAATGTGTGAGACCTGGGTGAAAGAGAATAAAAAGTACCCTTCGATATGAGTACTTGCCAAAAGTTATCCGGTCTTTAGGATTTCTCTGCAACAGTCCCAGCAAGAGATGTCGTAGATTACTAGAGGTCTCCTTTGGTATACTATGAAAACACATATACATTTATTGCCATACTTTGTCAAATCTATTATTTTTATGAATATGTATGGCTTCATTTTCTATTGCACTATGAGCAACAACTCGATACATGTTTATGTCTGTGTGGAGTTATGTGGGTCATGTGGAAAGCGATAGCTGCACTAACCTCTAACACGCAGCTCTTAAAGGTTATAAATAGAAATGATTAGGAAACAACGGTCTTGGCCAAACACATGTACAAACAGGGGTATACAACAAATTTTATCTCTTCCAAAGATAAGTCTGGGCAGCAGTCATTAAGAGCAGGGAACCAATCTACGCTTCACTTTGAACTCCCTCTATTTCTTATTTTAAACATCATAAGATCTTGTTTTCAGCAAGATAACTAGAGGCAACATTATCAAAGAAAAACATCTATGTACAGATGAATGAGAAATTTCTCAGACTTACTACCTTAAATAATGTCCAGTCAAACTACGGATTTACCAGTATTTTGGCAATGTATGCAAATCATACCGCAATGCTTCAATATTGTCTCTAAATGGTTTCTGTAGATCTATTTAATGTTCACATTTCAGAGGTCCCTTTTAACATTTTCCTATGGTAAGTAGGGTAATGCCACTTGTCAGTTGCCATCAGAATAAGTTTTATTGTCATTGTCAGTGAGCAAAATTCACAAACTAGGAATTTGCTTCTGCAATATGGTGCAACGTAAAACAATGCATAATAATAGTAAATATGAACTATGATAAAATAAAATGAAATAAAGGCATGCAAACAATAGGGTATTGAAAACTCTATATGTTACCCTACATGTGCATGCATGTTGTGTGCATGTTTGACACGTGATCATGTACCAAGCTAATCATTTCCTTGTGTCACAGAGTTCATGGTAAATTGATCGTTAGTAAACTGAGAAGCCTATAGGTAGAGGCACTCATTACAATATGTGGACAACTTCCTAGTAATAAATACATCTTTGTAGCACGTGTTAGAATGTTTGTTTTTGCAAAGCACCAACCTGGGCAAGAGGGTCCTGTTGGTTTCATAAAAAAGACGGAGCTCCTGTGGTGTGCTGGCCTAAAATATAAACATGTGCAAAATCAGTAGATATGTTAATACCAGACTGAAAATATTTCATTGTGGAATATGCTCTACACATTACACACAAAAGATGCAGTATCTGATTTGCTAAACTAACCAAACATTATTTTCAGTACAATGTTTCACAGAAACACTAATGACACATTCCCTTTCCTTTTCAGGGAATAGGCATTCAAAGTATATCCCATAAATTAGCTGCAAAGGGTCAAATCAACAAAATATTCCAGGTTCTTCCCCAGCTGTCAGCAAGGAATAGAATTTAGCCTGGCCAAAAGAGATCAGCTCAGCTCTGCAGTGTGGTCTGTCTAAACAAAAATACCACCCGAAGATCTCCAGGAATAATGTAGCGTGATGCGGCTCCCATGTGAAAAGCAGAAAGTGATATGGTCAGTTGTGAACTTGTGACACAACACTATGAAATGTTGATGGAAAACAAGTGTTCTATAACAGACGGAGACCAATGTCTAAATACAAGACTAACACACATGCCTATAGTTTTGGATTAATAATATATTTTCATGTGGAAGATTTCTAATATTATTTTTATTTCTTTTTAGAGCTTACATAAAATGGGGCCTTTCCCGTCAGACACTGGTAAACAATGGTCCCAATACTCCACAGATCTGCTTTTGCATCATAGTTCTGGGACATGAGGACTTCTGGCGCCTGTATACACACAAACATAGTTATCACAAATTAAGGCATAAAAAAATAAACTTTACAAATACTTACCATGTACATAGGAGAGCCACACAAAGTGGCCGCCATAGTGTTTGTCTGGAGGTGCCTAGCAAACCCAAAGTCAGCTGTAAACCAAAGAAGAAATACATCAGTGTGTGGAAAGGCACATAAGACACACATATACATATATATATATATATATATATATATATATATATATATATTTTTTTTTTTTTTTTTTACCTATTTTTATGCATGTGTTGAGAGAGCTTGCTCTTCGTCTTTCACCATGGCACAACAAAATGTTTTGAGGTTTGAGGTCTCTGTGCAGAATGCCTTGACCCTGTAGGACTTTCATGGCTTGAACTATTTGCTGAAGAAAAATGCGGATTGTGTCCTCACTTAGGGTGCCCTTTGCTAGATATATATATATATATACAAAAAAAAAAAACATTTAGATACATTTTGTACTTCTCTGCTATAGTACAAAATTTTGTATCTAGCACTGCCACACTGGAGGGGTGGGGAGGCAGTTGTTTAAGGTCATATGGGTGCTTTTGGGCTGCTAAGTGTGACTGAGTGTTGTGTTGCAAACTGCTCTGTGCCTCTTGGCAATGGCACAAGTTGGGCAACTTGGTGTAATGACAGAAGCTGGCAACAGATGGGGTAAAGACAAATGGGTTACAATGACATCAAGAAAACAAATTTAGCCTGTACATAAATATCATAAGGTTTAAGATGGGGGCAATATTTTTTGTTTAACATCAAGTCAGGTTTTGAGTGATTATTGTATACTTATTCCTCTCTGTAATGAAGTGATAATATGGCAGTACTGTTATATAAGGCAAATGAGAGAGAAAGCATGATTTATTTATTTTTTTTACAGATAAAACTTGTGTAATAGGATTCTCTTACAGTGAAGGTACTCAGCGAGGTCTCCTCCATTACAGTACTAAAAAAATGAAACAAACAAAAAAAAAAACAACAACAATACAATGTTTAACACATGCGACATGGATGCACCATTATGAATATGTTTTTAACTAACCTCCATAACTAGATAGACACAGCCTCCAATCTCCTGTTGAATCAAACAAACCATTTAGTGGTTACAATGATAGACAGTTGATTTTGTGTGATAATAATGCCTGATGAGTAATTACTCTATATCCTTTGTAAACTTGTGGTGCATCATGTTACACAACAACAACTTCCAGGAGCTTCACTGACAGCTCTTCCAGTGATTCTTGGTGACAAGAGTTATACTAATGGTCTGAAACCAAACGCCATTTTGTCCTCTGTGTCATTTGTGACCCCTCCTAAATTTAACAGGGCACTAGATTTCCATTGAAAAAGACACGAAGTGTGAGGTGACAGAAGGAGGGGTGAATAAGTTTGCAACCTGAGCTGTCAGTTCCACTATGTGTAAAAACACAAGGGGTTGCATCATGCATAATTATGTTTCACTATAATTCTAAAATGGTCAATAATTTGCACAGTAGGCCTAGTCATACTGTGTACTAGGATATACAGAAGTTGTCTCCTTTGTAGGTCATTTGCGTTATTTCCATTTGCCATGTACCCGTGTCAAATTCAAGTGTTTTATGAGCTGTTGTTTGGGCGGCTGCAAGCTGTCACCTGTTTGCAACATGCTGTATTAGCTCACGCATGTTTAGCTGTTTGGCAAGTGTTAAGAAAGATGAGAAGTGGGAAAAACACCAGTCACACATGCAGTGATTTTGCTTGTGGCATTTTATTACCTAATAATTTAAATTTGATGATTTGAAAAAAATAGCAATGTGTGTGTGATGATAAATATGTCCTACCTGATATTCAAATAGCCGAACAATATTGTCATGTTTAAGCTCCTGAATGAAATAAGGGAAAAATAATAACTTAAGTTAAACATCAATACAATCAAACACATTTCGTATATATAAATAGGAAAAAATACATTACCTTTAGTATTTTGATCTCTTTACCAAGCAGTGACTGTGACTTGGCCAGGTTTTTCTTGTTGATGCACTTTATGGCAACTTCCCAATGACGCTTCTTGTAATATAGATTATAAATATTAATACTCCAATTCACAGCTAGAGTAGCACAAGTATCCAAAAACCTACCTGTCTGTGTCTGCCTTTGAACACGACAGCAAAGGCTCCATGACCAATAAGGTCTTTCCTACTGAACTCAAACTTCCCAATAGATTCCATAGCAAAGAAAGTTTTCCAGCAGGCTTACGGGGATGCAGTTTTAAGAAAAGTAAGAACACAGTCCCACGACACTCTCACAATGTTGACTGATTCCATTTCACTGATGAAAAACACAACATCCCACGAAAAACATGACAAAAATTCACAGAGGCTGTTGACAGTAAGAAAGTTAGCAACGTACCTAAAATGTAAACAAATGAAATTGTACCCACGTTTAAATCTTAAGTTAATCTTATCAGTTGTTGAATAATAAATGCATTATAAACACTACCACAAATACTCGCCCGTCTCAACATGGAAACTACTTAAGAAAGTCTGTACCGATATTGGAAGCCGCTGCTCACCTTTCCAAAACATTTACTTGTTCGATTGCGCATGCGCAACATTTTTACGTCGGTGCCTTTAGGGACGCGTCGTAAAATAGCAGCGCTCTATTTTAAACAACAGCTATGGGAAATTGCTAAATACATTTTTTCCAAATGATTTTTATGCTGCCTAATCCTAGATAAAGGTTTTGCCTAAATATACAGTCTACAATATACATACATATCCACGTAATAACTATATATTTCTATTTTCTAATGTTGAATATAGAGAAGACCATACCATTTCAAAGTAAAACGTCAAAACTATTTTAGTCCAAACATTTTAATGGCTATGATAGCAAGAAAGCAAAGAACATGGTGACATGAGAAAGTATTCAAAATAAAAAGCAAATACGTATGACATGAAAGGGAGTACAGTCACAGTGAATGAATCCTGATATTGTAGCCTGTTTGATACAGTAAGCCTTAATAAGTAAATAAGTCCCTTTCCTCACAGTAAACACACAATATTAACAGTCTGGCAAAGTAACCAAAGAACCGAAGTACCAAAAGATTTATTTACAAAGGTTTAAAATGTGAAAATCAAATAGCCACAGGACCTTCACAGCAATCATTTACCTTTCTCCACAAGGACAGGGCATGCAGCTTTAAGTGAGGTACAACAAAATATCAGTTGATTTATATAAAATATGACACACAAAAATAAACAAATGACATTTTCTACAGACGTCATAGAAAAGAGGAAAAGATTTCACGTCACATAATAAATAAATACAATTTTAGCCAAAAACTCATTAGCTAAGGCTACCTAGATTAGCAGTTAATGATGATCTTTCTAAAGCAATCTTCCTCTTTGCAACAGAAATGGACTAAAATACAGATTTAATGAGAAGCTTCCATCACATTTGCTGTGGATATTATGTTTTTGACAGTGTTGTTTTTCTAAGCAACATAAAAAACCCTTGATGATTTTTTAAATTTGTATATTTTTTAAATGCTAGACTCTATATGAACAAAATGGATTGAACTGAGCACAGAAGTCACAAAACACACAACATATTCAAATATCTATTAAAAGGCACAGTACATTGATTCTGTACATTTACTTTAGTATTCTCACTTTATTCTTTGAATGGATAGTCCTTCAGTGACAAACTGAGAATCTATGAGACCTATACTGCAGAGAGATCAATGCGATTGGCCGAATTGTCACTTTTGTCCCATGTGTTCATCTTAGTGGGAATAACACCATCTTTGTTTCCATTGATCTAAAAATAAAGAAAAGACACAAGGGTATTTTAAGTGTTCATAAGTTAAGTAAGGTTAAGTTAAAAGAGAACGCACAATATCAGAGTGAAAGGGTTTTACATTGATGTTACGAATTGAACTGCTGGTTAGCGACCACACTTTGGTTTTGTGCTTGAATGCTGCTCTGACCTGCAAAATAGCACATTTGTATAGCTGAATTAAATTACAGCATGAAACATTTTACACATTTAAAATAAATTAAAAAACATACCTCAGAGTTAAGAAGACAGTGGAACAAAAAGACAAAAAATCCCTACAGAAAATGTGAAGAAACTGATTTAGATTAACAGTTTCTTGTCTGGTCAATTAGAGCTTACGTGAGGTGTCACTTACCTGCAATGAGTTGAATATAGCAAAGACGTATAGGAACACTAAAGAGTGTGTGTTGACAGCAAGAACACCAAAGATCCAAGATATCCCCAGAATAGGCAGGAGTACAGCCACTGCTTTTACTGTCAGCCTTAAACCAAAGAAAGACAGTTTGGTGATGCTGACTTTGCTCATCACTTTATTTAAATCGGTGAGTACTTTTTAACGAATGAACTCACTTAACTGAATTAGCATCTCCATGAACTTTATAATTCTCTCCACTGATGCGAGATATGATCCTTGTTACAGAAACCAAAATGCCAATGTTTACCTGAAAGAAAACACAACACATTTTAGTTTATTATCTGTAACTAAACTGTGAGCTGTGAAAACCTGACAATATCTTTTGTTGTTACTTACCACAATAACAAAGAGTGCTGGTGCGACAAATGCCCAGATGGCACCATTCTTCAATGATAACCAACAGCTATGAAAACAGAAAAGAAACGTAAAATACACATCCATCAGTATAAAAGGGGTAACTCTAAATCACTGTGAATCAAGAAGCAGTCAGTTAAGTAGTAACAGTATTAAGTTAACTAATCATTGGGGTGTAAAAGAAGAATTAAATAAATATGGGATTGAGGCAAATATTTAGTAAAATATTAATGAGGTATATTACAACTTGCAATCAATTGTCTCAAACTGAAAATACCAGTATAAGAACAAAAATAAGCAAAGCTGATTCGCTTATTTACTATGAATTGACAAAAAAAGAGTGTTTTGTTTTATCTGTTTGTTTAAATTCCTGTCCTTCTCTCCCATGGCAACAGAGTGGTTGGCTGCTTTAGTGGCACCTGGCTCACACACACTGAGCAGTTTTCGAAATGTTTTGGTTTTTGAGCTCAGTTTTTAACATCATATCATAGGATTTTAACCAACTAAGAACTGCAGTATGTGCAGCTCAAGGGAGATAAGTAAGGGACTGCTGGATTGTGTGAAATGAATTGTTTGTTTTTCCCATATCCATGGAGACCGTGCAAGGAGGCAAACTAGGCTAGTTTATTTGTATAGTACAATTCATACACAAAGTATTCCAAAGGGCTTTACAGAATAAGAAAGACATTAAAATCACAATACAAACAAATCAAAACATAAATAATCATCATAAAATGAACATTAATAGAGAAGAGATTGCGTGGAATAAAAATATTTCTGTCACAAGCACAGCTAAACAGAGCCAGTTTGAGCCTGGATTAAAATATAGTCACAGCAGAGGCCTGTCTCACATCTTCAGGAAGACTGTGCCAGGTTTTAGCAGTATAAAAATGAAACACAGCCTCCCAGAGACCATGTTTAGTCCATGTTTAGTTCTTGTTTGGTCCACGTTTGATCCTGGCTCTGGGCACCAGCAGGAGGCCGGTCCCTGAGATCCTCAGAGTGCAGATGGTTCATATGGCACTAATATGTCAAAGATGTACTCTGGTGCTAGACCATGGATAGAAAGCATTGCTGCTTTAAAGTATATTCTCTGAGCCACAGGAGCCAGAGACCTGAGCACAGGACACAAGTGCTTGTACTTCTTGGACAGAATCAGGACTCGAGTGTTCTGAATGTACTGCAGCTGTCTTACAGCTCGTTTGGAGAGACCAGTGAGCAGACTGTTACAGTGGTCTAACCTACTGAAGACAAATACATGAATACGTCTCTCCAAGTCTGGTTCAGACAGTATACTTTTGATTTTTGCTATGTTAGAGGTAGGAGCTAGCTAAGGACCTAGCCAAAGATATTTGAGATGCTGCATATTTTTGCACCATATGCGGCAGCAAATATCAAAGAAGAGCTTCCAGAAGAAACTCTTTGAAGGAATGAACCATTTCATCACAAACACAAAGACCAGAGTGTAGTAAGAGTGAGGACTTTACTGTTGTGTTCACCTGGCTCCCCTTGGACACTGTAGTGATGCTGTGGGACACAGAGTAGGGACACTTTTGGCTTTTCCTCTCCTCAAACTGCCCTGACACAGGCCTGCTAACCCTACCTGACCAGTCCTCCTGTTAAACTGCACTGAGACATTTGACTGAGACACAAAGGTAACTGAGAAGTATTAATGCTGCTGCAGCAACTTGAATTTCTGCGATCAATAACGCACCTCTTTCTCTCTTCTCTCTCTTGATATATGTATTACATCATTCAGTATGTTAAAGCTTCCAGTCACACCAAGCCAGGATTCCAATTTCAGTCCACAGCTGATGTTACATTCATGCAATGCCACAGTTTAGCCCAAAGCACAATAAATTCCACTTAAGTTTTCCATGGATTTTTTTTTTGCCATACTCACTTATCCACCTCTCCATAACTGTCTAAAGCTGAAGTCATGGACACCACGCAGATCAGCAGCGGTGAACCTGATGGCACACACAAAGTCAACACAGATGGTGGAGATAAATTTAGGCAAAATATCGCTGTGCCCAACTCATTGTTTGCACAGCGGATTGATTCACTTTCACTGCAACTTTGTCTAGACTTCATAAATACTACGAATAATGCACTGCAAGACAGATTTACTCAAGATTTATATGTTTAATTATCTAAGGCAACAAAAGAAAATATTTTAAGTACCAGGGATGTAACAATAACAGAAATATCGTATCATAAAACGACTCCTAGTAATATCACGGACTATCACAAGAGATCAAATTACAAGTCTCTTTGCTTAAATTAATAGTTATGGTGCAGCAATAGCTAAATAAATAAATAAACAGTGCTTTATTCTTTGGATTATGATAGAACCAAAGTGTTTTCATGGCATTTCAAGAGGAAAAAGTAGCGTATTCACAGTTTTGTTAGCTTCCTCAGAATATTGCCATAAATATCAAACTCTGAGATGCATATTGAGAAAAAATTTTACCGAGAGATTTGGATATCGTTACATCACTACCAATAAATTATCAAAGCCAGTAATGGGGAAAAAAATAATTCTCACATTATTTACAGTTGGCCACATCAAACATACTAGAAGAACGGAAAGTCATAAAAAGCATATCCTTTGTACTAATTGGTTTAACATGTGAATGAGAGAGAGTGCATTCTCTAAACAGACAAACATGGCAGAAATATGATCTGTATTTTTAAAAACTGTCACTCAGCTGTGGTTCAAAAACATAAACATAAAGAAATTTGTTATAGAGTAACTTGAGTTAAAGCAGGTGTAACCGGGTCAGTCCTATTTGCTTTAAGGGAATATTTAACCAAGTCATAATAAATGCGGCCATACGGTCAAGTTAGAGGTTGCTTGGAAAAGGTGATGTGAAATCAGTGGTTGGACTGGCACCACACATGTTTCTCTTGTGTACTCTTAGGGCTTGTGTACTCTCTTATCTCACTTAGAGTAGAACAATATAGCGCAATAGCACAATAGAGTAAAAATTGTAAGTTGAGTAGGCACAATTATCAAATCACAAAGGCTGCAATTATAAAAGAATATTCTCTGTACTATAAAGAACAAACTGTCCTGTGGGTGTTTTTATAAAACAATCTTGTAGTTTAGACCCCTACAAACATGCTCTGAAATTCTTATATTAGTTTAGCAGTTCATAATTCAGTATTTTCTCAAATTCTGAAGCCCTACTTTTACAATACATGGGATAATTGTGCAAGTGCTTTGTAATCTCCTTGTTTTCAAGAACAGGCCCTCATACATGTAAAAGTTAAAATACAGTCTTTTATTCCTAGGAGACATACCCCAGCCAATGCCGTAGTAGTAAAAGTGTTTGCTTCCCTCAGAGCCAAATACTTTGACGACCATACTGTAAAGATGGAGGCCCTCCACCAACATCCAGGCAAAAGCACTCAGGAAGAAGAAGTGAAGCAGCGCAGCCATGACTTTACAAGACAGCTACAGAGACAGAGAGAAAAAGAGGAATCGTTATATCCTATCTGCAAGAATAGGATTAGCTTTACATTGATTAAAGGATGTTGGCAATGCTTACAGTGCCTGGTTCAAACCGAGCACTGATGAGTAGGAGGATTTCAGCCACCAAAATGGCAAAGGACAGATTTGCATGGATGTGGTAGCGCTGATTGCGGATGGTGCTTACTGAACTAAAAATAAAAAATAATAATAAAAAAAATGAAAAAGCCTTATCATCTTAATTATCTTATTAATGAGAACACAAATATGTTCAGATATACTTACGAGAGGACTGCAAAAGTGACCAAAGTAATGGCAAGGCAGAAGATGGATATTGAGCAGCCAACATAGCCAATGGTAGACAGTGCCACCCGGTGGCCAGTGGTGAGCTTTGTGTCATAAAACAATAAAACAAAACACAATCACAAAAAAATTATAATATTTATAACATGTGGTTTAGTGCTGTTATATATAGTATATATATATAATAGTTCAATAAATTATGTAAAGCAATTTTTACAAGAAATGTTATTTATGTCTTTTTATTTTAATATAATATATCACTGTTTTTGTCTTATTTAATTCAGGCCTGGACAGTATAGCCTTGTATTGAGCAACTGCTATTTCAAATTGATTTTATTTATTATTATTAAAAACAAATGTGGCTAACTATGGTTTCCAATTTCGTTTTTATAAACATCAACAACACAGACTTTATTGTGTACAATACAGACAGGTATTTAATATACAAAATAGTGACATTATTTATTCCTCTAAACCACATCCTTAGACTGACAGAGGAATGGCTGCAGGCCTGTCAGTTAAAAGATTGACTCTGACTATGGATCTTGATTTGATTATAATATTATTCATAGCAAAGCCCTAAAAATTACAACATTTATTTAATACAGTGAGTAATAGTGATTTTGTAGTTTTTCAGATATTTCAAGTGTTTGGCAGCTATTCTCCTCTGCCCATGCACATGTGAGCCTTGTCATTATGAGGCCAGGAGTCTGAGGTCCAGAATAGTGTTCTGTGGGATGCTGCAGCTGTGGTGTACGGCAGTCCACTAATTAGAGAGTGGCTGAGGCAAAGTATAGCATCAAATAAACTGGTGTTCCTAAAATACATCTGTGGCCAACTTCATTTTGGTCAAAACTTGTCTTGTCAGGGATACTGTCCGAAATCTTGAACAAATGTGAATTTTACATTTTATAGTCCCAAATGTTAAAAAAGGGCATTTCAAGTGGTTTGGGAGACAGGCCACTGGCCTTTGCAATAACACCAAATAGCCACATTTTATCATAGCTGTCCGCACGTCTGCATGTAAAGCCACTAGTAAAATATTACTTGTATCTTACTGAAGCTAAGTGAAAAGAGTGAGGAGTGGTTAATCAGAATCTGTGTGCCAAACCACAATTTCCTCTCCAAAAATGGTAAACCAATTTTACACTTTTTAACACAGTTATACAAGCTATAAGACCCAAAGCCATCTTTGTCTAATAACCAAAAACACAATGAATACAGGACTTAGCATTGGTTGGTATATTCACCAACTTTCCATCTCTGGCATTTCTTCAGGCTTGAGACTGGGTTAGCTGCGAGTCATCTTTTGAGGCTTTCTTTAGTAATATTAATTACTATTAACATATTATTATTTGGTATTTATTTGTGTAGTGGGGAAACAGAGCCTTCTCCATTGCTGCCCCCACCCTCTGGAACTCTCTACCTCAGCAAATCCGAGACTGTACTGAACTATCCATCTTCAAGAAATTGCTCAGAACTCATCTATTTAGAACCGCTTTTAAAGTTTAGCCTGCTCTTAAATCATGCCTATATTTTGTCTATTACCTTGTATGTACTCTTTTTAATTGTATTCTTTGTACAGCATCTTTAAGTGTTTAGAAAAGTGCTTTATAAATAAAATGTATTATTATTATTATTATTATTATTATTATTATTATTAGTAGTAGTAGTAGTAGTAGTAGTAGTAGTAGTAGTAGTAGTAGTAGTAATAGTAGTAGTAGTAGTAGTAGTAGTAGTAGTAGTAGTAGTAGTAGTAGTATTGCAAACTGTTATCAAAAATGAAAATGCCTGAGCTATGTCTCACCTCTATTGGCACGACTTGCATGAGGATGGCGAAGTTGGTGAGGTGGTTGCACAGACATACAGAATACGTCATGTTCCCGTCTGAGCGGACACAGCCTTCATTAGACCATACTCCTTCTTTTGAGCTGAAAAATGTAAAATATAAAACTAATGAGTGACTGCAATACACAACGCAACACAATTTGTCATCCTTGAAGAGTTACAGTCAATGGGGGGGGGGGGGGGGTTGAGTAATACAATTTATTCTTCTTAATAGTGTTTTGGCTCATTTTACTGATTTAAAGGGATTTTGAAGAGAATATATTTTATACCAACACATGTTTCTGGTTTAAAAGGAAATACACCTATCCAACTCAAGCAGTGTTACTGCTCCCATGTTGACCACTCCAAGCACAGCATATCCTTAAAAAACATCACTTCAGATAAAAACAGCTTTGTGTAAATTATGACTCACCTATAGTCCAGGAAAGCACAGTAGAGGAAGATTTTATTGCTCTGGTTTAAGACTTGATCCTGTTGCTCCTTTGTCTGAAAAGAAAAATAAAATTGATGTAATCCAATCTGTGAAATGATGTGATGTAGGAAAACATTTGCTTGGCTGGTCACGGTTAAATGGAGCCTATTAAAACTTTTTGCTTTGTTGTTAGAAAACAGAATAAAATTGGTTGAGGAAGAGTGATGACATGCAGAAATTGAGACCTTTCCCTCTTTCAATATGATAGGAACAGATCACAGAATTGGCTTGTATACATTTACATTGACAAGTTGTGTCCCTTTAGAACACAACTTGTTTATTTTGAGTGAAACAAAATCTAAGGCAATTATGTCTTACGTATATACTGCATACTTTCTTTAATGGCCTGTGCCTTTCCTTCCTTCCATATGCTAGAGAGATTCAAAGATTTGGATGCACACTTTGGCTCTTGAGGGACACAGCATTTTATTTAGATAATGGAATATAACTTAAACTATTACAAAGCAATGCTGTCAGCAGCCTTCATGTATCTTTTTTGATTATGTCAGTCTTTCCATGTCATTCCTGCATATACAATTTGGACTCTCATGAGACAGTGAGCTAATGGCTAAAGTATAAGAATGCAGTAATTAGGGTTTGGCTCAGCTTTTAATTCGGACCACTACCCTCCTTTTTCTTCAATCACTCCTCTCAAAAAACTTTAATTGCCAGTCTGGGTGTGTACAGAAAACTACACACCTCTTAGGCTTACTCCTCCTCCAGCATCGACTCCTCAGACTACATAAGTGCATGAATTGTCTGCACGATTTCCTTCTGGAAAAAGTGAGTGAAGCTGACAGTCGAGCTGTCCTGACTATAGGCTCCGATTACAAAGGAAACGCATGCTCTCATTCTGTCTGTTGCAAGTGCTCAAGCCATCATGTACTCCAACTTCCAATCAACAGAATGAACTAGTAGCTTTGGAAGTAGTGCTGAAAACTAGATGGTAAAATAAACAGATAAATAAACATTTGTAAAATTCTAAAATGCATGCATTATGAGTCTCTAAACATACACAACTGACAGGCAGTTTACCCAGTTAAAAGTATTTTTTCCCTTATACTAAAGAAACAATTGTGGTGAGTACATTACAAAACTAATAAAAATGAACACACTTGAGCATTTAAAAACAAACGACAAACAAAAACTGTCCCACTGCTCAGTCTTCCTCATTCACCCTCTCCATCATTTTTTTTTCAAATGGAGCAATGTCCATCATACTTTCCTTCCACATTTTTAGTGTAGGGGTATTAGGTTCCTTTCACAATCTCAAAATTACCCAGGCGCATGCCACCAGTCAAGTACTTATGACTATGAACACTGGTTTGCTCAGATAAGGCACTTGTCCCTGGCTCCTCAGCAGAGACAACCTGGGGAACTTGGGTAGGTCACATGATAGCCAGCCCTGCATGTATTTATTTAAGAAATTTGAATGCTGATTCTTATAATTTATAGGCTTGTGGATGCAGCCACTTGTGACAAATACAATTTCCAATTAACACTCCGTTTTGCATTTTAAGATAGTAGTTTTCTTTTTAGAGTATAAAATATACTGAACTGGGATGAACCTGACACAGTGACATGAACAAATTGGATTAAAGCCATGTTTGACGACACTGTGAATGCGGCCACAAAGAGAAGCTGAAACCAGCCCAGGACCATGGACTAATGTATCTTACATTTTCCTGTTGGCTGTAAATGAAAACAGATGGCAAAATGAGTGAATGTCGAAAGGGAAAATTCACACACACTGCAGTCTTACAGTGTCACCGGTAATGTCTCTGTGAAGAAAACTAATCATCCACATTAAGCCCTAAACATTGCCCTGTGATAGGGACCAGATCCAGCCTGTTATATACATTGACACTACACATGTGAGCAATGCTGGTACCAAACTTCCTTACAACTGCATGTGCAATCCAGTAGTGTTGAAATACATTTTGGCTCAGCACTCTTTGTTGTTCCTTGAGGCCTTTGTAACAACTATTATCCAAATCTGCAATTGCAACTCCAGATTTTTATTAGCAACAGAAGGACCAAAAAGCATCCACAACCTTTGAAATGTTTCTAAAGGTTAGAGAATTATGAAAGACCTATGTATGACAACAAGACATCAGTGATATCGTGTGATGGGTGAGTGATGTAGAGTGACAGCAGGCGAGTGGAGACAAGATATATGCTGGTAAGTTTCAGATACCAAAAGTGTTTCTTTGTTTGGAACCCATTTGTAAAAGCTGTGAAGGTTTGCAAAGTCTGAAAACAATGGCTTTTTGTACAGTAACTCTTAGAAGATTAATTACACATTTTCCTCAGAGAAGTCATATTTGTGGCATAGTATGAACCAATAGGATTTAAAGAGGCCATTATTAGGGAGATTGTTCATGACTCCTAAATGCCGTCATTAAAAAAATAATAAATTAATAATAATAATAATAATAATAAAATATCTATATATATCTATATCTATATCTATATCTATCTATCTATCTATCTATCTATTTATCTATCTATCTATCTATCTATATATATATATATATATATATATATATATATATATATATATATATATATATATTATACACACACACACACACACAAAGTTCTTTAACAATACATCAAAATATATATCCATTATAAACTTAAAATTATTTCCATTTGAGGGTGCAAAATGTGAAAGGACTCGCTGAGATGTTACTGCTATGCCTTGACTGTTCCACAGTATGGTATTAAACTTATCTATCATGCACTTTTCAGGTGTTTTCACTGTGTTAAATTTAACACTTTGAAAAATATGCATTCTAACAGTGAGCCCTCTGCTTGAGACAGACATGTTTAATGCTGCATTGTGGAACATTCAATACAATAATACGAAAGTGGCAGGCCCTCCTGCAGAAAACAATTATGCAGTGCACTTTTAAACAGCACACTTAAGTCTTCAGTTTCAAGCAACTGATGTTTACATACAACCTGCATGGACCAGATTAGCTTCACCATCACTCCCGTTATGTGATAGGGACTTACATAAGAGCAATATGTTTAGCATTATGGGGAGGGTAGTTCATAGCAGCTTTTCTGATCGCCATACACCTGGGCTTAACAGACCAACATTTGTCTTCACAGCTGATGTATGAGGTACACTAGCTGGCTCGTTCTGGTAAATCTTGGGATCTAAACCACAGCAAATGTCTTTCTTCAGGTGTTTAATAACCATTGTGGAACAAAAAAAGAGGGAAGTAAACATGCAAATGCATCACAACTGAAGAAATCTCACTACATTTCTCTGTACAGTGTCTGTCAGGGTTAGACTCTCAAAAAAGTAGCAGAGTTGGCTAGTGCCCTAATGTTGTTCAGCTGTACTAAATGCAAAATTTCTCAAGATCTTAAATGGCAGCTATAGTTGTTGGAAAATGTGTAAATTGAGATGAAACCCAGGAAACTTCAATAATTTTTGCACATGTTTCGAAACTTGAGTTTGTGTGATTGTTGAATTCAAACATGTTTCTGAAATCCAGACTATTCAATCATCTAACGTAGGCATTCTGCAGCAAATCTAACATGCACATGCAGTCGCTTACATGCTTAACTGATCAAAACATACAATACAATCAATATAGTTTTAAAATGTTGCTTGTTACTCCCCTTCTGCCTCGGGTAGAGGTCGTGCGCATGCACTGTAGTGCCAAGTAGCTCAAATCGACAGGATACCGTCAAAATATTTCTCAGCATATTTGACACAGCTCTCATTCAGAAACATGCATAATCAGTTAATTTGTCTTGTTGTTTTTTTCCAACTCTATAAGTCTGTTCACACATGGTGAAGTACTCTGGCCCTCACGTTGTCACTTTCAAAACAGAAAAATAACAGCAAAAACTACAATTTGTGGGGACCCAAAATCTATCAACAAAGGATTTCATACATAAAACAAGGAGAGGAGTCTCAGACAATACAGAATGAATATAGAGATATAGTACATACAGTATGCTGTATATCAAATTTAATGTTAATGTTATGTATATATGCTATGTAACTGTATGTAATGTGTATAAGAACACATACACATTACATACAGTTTTTTGGATTTTGGCTCATTTGGAATTGCTTGCTTCTGGAGGATGATCAGTCAGCTTTGTATGACAAAACAAACAAACAGCATTTTGGTGAGATAAGATGTTTAGGAAAACTAAAATTCTTTTTAGGATTTTGTGTGAGCTGCTTTTATATTTTACATAGGTAAATGTGACTAAAGTAATTTTTAAAACTTGTAAAGACTAAAACTTCAGCAATCATGCATATCAAAACTACATAACACTACACTACATAACTACATACCACATAATGTACCTAAAACATAAAACATAACACATATGTACCTAAAACGCAACAATCACACAAATAAATGCAAATTGCAACACTCTTTCTATATGTGATCTGTGTATCTAAATACTGCACACTCTTAACAAAGTCCATAGACCAAAGACACAAAGGACCAAACTGAACACACGAGAATCAATCTGATTAGACAGATAGACAGATGTAGAAATAATTTAAAAACTTCTGTAGTGAAAGTCTATGTGAACCAGGTTTTCATTTAGATGCTTGTCTGACACAGTTCAGATACCAACTGCTAAAAAGAATACTGTTCCTAACTGATTGTGTAATATTTGACACACATTTACAGCATTTACCTCAAACCATCAGAAACAGTGTGACACTAGTCTTATAGGTTTCTCTCCCTCACACTACATGCCTAAAAGTGTGGGAGCTTTCTCCAGTCAGTGTCTGTTTACATTTTGACCACCAAGTGTCCTTTTTACAAAATTATTATTATTATTTTTTTTACATTTTGTTCACAAAGTTGACTTTTTCAAACATGTGTGAATAGTTTTACTGTGTGCAAAAGATTTGCCAGATTTATAACAAGTTTAAGAGAATGCGCCAAAGCAATTGAAACTGACTGTTTTTGTTGGAGTGGACTGAATGAAGAAGGTGGGACTTTAGGTAAAGACAACAACA